TTTTTATTTCGCGATCCTTGAATAAATATAATCCAAAGCAGCGATCATGGTATTTGTAGATCCGCGCGAGTAAGTATGGCACGATCTTATAGACTATAAACTCGTGAAGTATGGAGGATTAATGGAAATAGCTAAATTTAGATTAATAAATTAATAGAATCGAATCTTAGAATTTTTATTTCGCGGTCGCTGACTTAATATAGTCTAAAATTGCAATTATGCATTACTTTATTCAGTGAAACTACCGGACCGGAAACCGAAAACAACATTGCATGAACGGACTGCTACTGAAATCAATTTTCCCTGTTGCAAAACTAATTTATTGTAAAAATGATTAATAAATTAGTAGAAATGAATATTAGCAATTTCATTTCATGTCCCTTGGCTAAATACTAATCCCAGTTTCCAAAGACTAAATTTTCAGCGAAATACTAGATTAGAATATCTGTACTTCAAATTGTACATCGATCTATCAATATCATAATGATCCGGCAGCCCGAACCGTACCCGAACCGGGCCCGGGAGCAGTTTAGAACCGACATCACTTTTGCTTCATCTTTCTTACTTTTCAGTCTAGCTTATTCCAGAGGGCGTCATAAATTGCAGACCGGTTTTCGGGCTACTTTTTAGTAATCTCTCTTCGGTGTAAATTCGTATAAAAATGAACGAAAATTTGTTGACACGTATAAAAAACAGATTAAAGTCAGATCATTATTCAATGAATAATGAATGGTTAAGAGAGTGTGTGGAATACAGTGTGAGTCAACACGAAAATGTAAATACCAATTATTGGAATTTTTGTTCGATTTTACAAAACTCAGAATCTAACTTGCTAATGAACTTTAATCAATTATAATTTTAGTCCAGCGCAGAAGAAATTCTGAAGTTTGTGAGAGATCAATGGCACCTCAGTGATTTACGTGAAATTAATAATGAAAATGGATGTTTACCTCGTAACCTTTCACAACAACCGTTTATTACGCTGCCTGAAAAATATATTCTCCAGGTATATATAAAGATTGAATGCATATGCGAACACGCATTTAGAAAATTGTTAAATTTGTTTCACTTCCATAAATCAGGTGGAACAGATGTATGATATTGCGACATCGAAGTACAAGCAGTTGGAACAGATTAGAAATATACATATTTCGGAAGAAGAGATATCTGAAGCAGAAAAGATAGAAAAATATGAACCCACCAAAAAGAGAATGATGCAATTACGATTAACAGACGGATTGCAAGATATAATTGGGATTGAATACAGCTACATGCCCCAATTAAATGTATAAATTACCACTATATATTTTTCAAACATGTTTGCCAGACATTACCTTAAAGTAATTATACGATTGCAAAATGTTCTGCTTTCCAAGGATATGTTATTACCAGGATGTAAAGTTATGATACTGGGACCAGTAAAATGTCGTAAAGGTGTTTTATTATTGGAGAAAAAAAATTTTAAGGGCATTGGTGGTGAAGTAGATAGTTTACTATTCCATAATGCTGTGGAAAATGTTTTAGCCAGAGCTTTGTAAGTTTTATTTGAAATTTACAGTCGTTGAAAGACTAAGAATTTAAAAACATATATTTCTTTTTTGTAGGAATTTGCCAGAGAACCCAAATCCTTATAATGATGATGAAACGCAACCAAATAATGTTAAACAAGAAGAACTGAAAGTGGATAATTTGTTTGAAGACGACTTCGAAGTGAATTTTAATGATCTTGATCTAATTGAAGATTCGCTTAAGGATAATATGTCTACTAAAGATACGACGAAAATAAAAATTGAAAACACTAATACTGCGATTAAAAATGTTCAACATAGTGCGAAGGGGGACATTTTGGATGATGATGATGATTGTCTCTTAGAAATGGTTATTTTTACTTTCATAATATAAAAACTGTACATCGATGCTTAATTCATTGCAAACTAAATTTATTTTATTATATAGATTGATGAAAGTCAGTTTGTGGAGAAAAAAGTGGAACAAATTAATGTTACATCACCTTATACAACATTACCATCTGAAGCTGATGATATTATTGTAATAAATGAAGATGTGCCAGACACGAAAGCTGATATCCTTAAAAAACCGACATTACCTTCTGATAGAGCAAATTCAACGACTATTAGTTTCCAATCAGGAATAAACAATAAGCAACAAGCTTCGTTAAATCTTGGAAAGAGAAATGTAAATGACTTTCATTCCTGCTTTAATTTTCTCAATATTGACATTTAATAATATATAATTTCTTAGGTTCCAATGTCTCCACCTGAAGTATTAACCGTAAAGAGGGGCAAAATGGGCAAGCAGACAGCAGAATCCTCTAAAGTATTAAATTTTTCGGAACCGAAAATCACAAAATTTCTGAAACCATTAAATACTCCAGAAGATTCAAAAGCATCAATCCTTTCGAATCAGCCGATAATAAATAATTTTACTCAGCCGTCCAATACTTTCCGAGAAACGAAACTTACAGAATGTACAAAAGCATTAAGCTCTCCAAGGGAATCGGAAATAATCAAATTCGGAGAACCATTTAATGTTCCACAAAAAACTGAAAAATCTACGGAATCGCAGAGTGTTCCAGGAGAATTGGAACATTGCGAATTTATTTGCACTATAAAGAATAGCGAATTTACGGAAACTACGTATAAAACAGTTCGAGCTCGTGTACAACATCTTGGAAAGCTAGGCAAAAAAGACTCACTATGGTCTTTGGACGGTGTGATAGGAGATGGTACTGAAACGATAGAAGTTTTCTTTTCAAATCAGGTATCAAAAAATAAAACTTGCAATTCATATAGAGCTAGCAATTAAATTCTAAATGCATCTGTTTCATGATTTCAGGTGTTGCAAAATTTAATAGGTTTCAGCTACAAAGAGTTTTCAGTAAAAAAGAAATTAAAGAAATATCCAGAAATTGAACAAGAACTTAGAACGGTATTACAGTTGAATTTCGAGTAGATCATTTGCTTGTAATATTATTCATTTTATTAATTTAATTTTGTACTTAATATTTCAGAGTCTGCGTAATGCAGATCAAAAAATACAAACTTTAGATGCTCTAGTACTACTAGAATTAAGTGCAGACAAGAAGCCAACAGTGACTAAAATCACTGATTTGACTCAGGAACAAAAGCAAATATTAGATAAAAAGGTAGAAAACTTCTCACTTAAAAATGTTTAAAACATATCTATAAAGGTGAATCAACAGGATTCCACAGTACGAGATACTACGTTGTTATAATTATGTTCTAAGGATTATAG